TTTTTTTTTTTTTTTTTTTTCCTTCTGTCTTTTCCTTTATCTTCATTTTTATTTAAATATTCTTCCCTGTTTGTAATGAGAGTTCATGTACCACGACCTTGCTCCACGCGTGGATGAAAGAGTCTTGCAACGTGTGGCTCGCCAGCAGGGCTACGTAGGACCCAACAGATTGGATTCCCTCCAACAACAACAACAACAACAACGAGAAGAACAAACAGAGAGATGGGAAGAAGAAGTAAATAAAAGTAATGATCTTCCACTTCATCTAGCCTCCACACCAGAGGATGTACTGCGTGCCTACCCGCCTCCTCCAGCAAACTTTACAGGAGAAAAGGATACGGCGAAACGTTCTTCTCTTGTTCAAGAGGAAGAGATTGGAAAGGCATCACACAAGCGACCACGAAGTGTCAATGAGACTCATAGCCCTAACACCACAACAACAGCAGCAACAATAACGACAACAACTGATCAGTCGCAAGGTAATTTATCATCTAGTTTTACTCCATATATGCATTTTGCCCCTTCATTTGAGCGTACCGATTACTTGGGCCGATCCTTCCTGACACCACCGCCGTCTATGCGGCCACTGGAGCAGGAATGCCGTCCACCACGTCAATTAAAAGGCAGTTGGGGTAAACATACGGCTGGTATTCAACAACTGCAGTGGGTTCCACCAATGGGACATCTTCTCTTTGCCGCTGATCTCAAAGGTGAGGTGCGGCTACATGATGCTATGGCATCCCGTAAGTGTATTGCCACCTTTGTGGCTCACACACAACCAGTGAAATCATTGGAAGTAACACCAGATGCAACTACGATGTCTACAGGTTCTGTAGATGGCACAGTGGCGATGTGGGATGTGGAACGTGGTGTTTGTCGTGGTGTACTGACAAACACAGAAGGACTTTCATGTGTACAACACTTACATCACCCATTTGATCCCGCCTCTCTCATTCTTGCAGCGTTAGATCGAAAAGTAGTCTTGTATGATGTACGTGTGAGTCAACAACGATACCAGCGGGAATACACTGGTCATATGGGTACTATTTTTAATCTTACCTTGTTGAGTGGTGGTAAAAAATTGCTAACTACAGCAGAGGATAAGACGTTACGTACATGGGATTTCCGAGTTCCTGTTCAAATTAAACAAATAGCAGATGTTTCTATGCACGCCATCACACACGTGGTGCGTCATCCAACAGAGGATATGCTGGTAGCACAATCACTAAATAATCAGGCTCTTGTTTTTGCGGATAGTGGCGGTGGTCAAGTACGGTTACTGCGAAATCGTGTATTCAGTGGTCATACCATCTCTGGTACACGGTGTCAACTAGCCTTTAGTCCAGATGGACGTTATCTGTCAAGTGGTGATATTCATGGTAAACTATTTATTTGGTCGTGGGCTACAGCAGAGTTGGTGCGTTCCTTTGCAGCACACACACAGATGTTGGCATCACACAGATGGCATCCCGTGGAACCATCACGCGTTGTCACTTCTGCGTGGGATGGAACCATAAAAAATTGGAGTTGATTTGTTGTTTTTTTTTTTTTTTTGTTACTCTTTTTCTATATATATATATATATATATATATATATATGAGTCCTATTTCTCTTTCTGTATGTTTTTATTGTTATTTGTGTGTATTCAGAGAGAGAGTGGGATGGATGTGATGATGTGGCAATGATATAATGGATGAAGAGCGATATATGAGAAAGAGAGTATCAGTAATACTATGCTAGTTTGTAGTACTTGCTGTACCGGAAGAAAAAGGGAATATATATATATATATATTTGTTTCTCCACATACGGGGAGTTGAAACTTAATCACATCTCTTTCTCTTTTTCTCTTTCTTTCTCTTCATTTGTGTCTATCTGCCTTATGTATATGTGAAAAACGGAAAAGAATTTAAAAAAAAAAAAAAGGAGAAAGCAGAAGGAAATCGGATATCTAAGTGCAAGAGGGAGAAAAGAAGGACTCGCACTTCCTACAGCGAAAACGAAAAGGGAAAGGAAGCAAGAGCAATAGAAAGGGTACCTTTACTATCCTTTTTTTTTCTTTTTTCTTTTTTCTTTTTCCTTCACTGGTCCACAGGAGTTCACACTGTAGGGAACACACAAAACACAGAAATCTACGCACGAACGCATATACAGAAAAAGGAATAAACAAAAAAGAAAGAAAGAAAGCAGCGCCAAGGAAAGGGTGAAGAAAGAAAAGAAAAAAAAAGGAAAAATAAAGAAAGAGAACATAGTAAGAAGAAAGACAAAAAAAAGAAAGAAATCAAGAAAGACGTAAAGAAGAAGAAGAAGAACTAGAAGTGAAACATCTTTAAAAACAAAATACAAAAAGAAGCCAGGTAAAAAAAAAAAAGAAGAGAGAGAAAAAATGGCAAACAGTAAAAAAACGCAACAAGAGATTGATCGTCTGGTACGACGTGCACAGGATGGCGTTGAGAGTTTTGATGACTTGTATGATAAGTACCTTAAAGCCGGATCTCAAACATTAAAGGAGCGATTTGAAGGTGAACTCAAGAGGGAAATCAAAAAGGTGCAGCGATTCCGTGAGAATATTAAGGTATTTATTTCCAATCCGGAGGTGAAGGACACTAAAATGCTTGAAACATCTCTGAAGAGCATAGAGGAAAGAATGGAACTCTTCAAGACATGCGAACGTGAAACCAAGACAAAGGCATTCAGTAAAGAAGGACTCGCTGCCGGTTCTCCAAATGAAACACTTCAAGCTCAGAGAGAGACTTCTTTAAAGTCCACAATGGAAGATATGCGAAAACAGATTGATATTCTTGAGTATGATCTGGAACGAGATGCACGCGGTCATAATAGTGGACGAACTACGAAGGGTACTCCCTCTGCTGTTCTTGCGCGTATGCGAAAGTTGAAGTTTCACTTAGACAAACTTGAGTTAGTACTCAAGGCAGTAACAAACGGAAGTGCGGATCTTGACCGTGTACGTGATATTGAAGGGACGATGCAGCGACTTTTACAGAATGAAACGAATAGCGATGAGGAGGACGAAGATGAGGATGAAGAAGAAGAGAACCTTTACAGTGGATTTGATCTGGAGGATAGCCGTACTCAAGAGAAGCGTCGCAGTGGAGGAGGAGGAGGAGCAGATGAGGATTCGGCAATTCTTTCCGGTTCTGCGCAGGATCTAGGTAAGAAAACCCCGGGCTCCGGGTCCATCCCAACAGCCTCCACCTCCGCCATCACGAGTACATCGGCGAAGAAGACAACACCACCAACAACCGTCAGTAAATCTGATTCCGTGAAAAGACTCTCCACAACACAACCAAGCCCAAAAACACAAACACCGGGAGGTGGTAATACTTCCATCTCTTCTACATCTGGTGGGAAACCAATTTCAAGTAGAGATATGCAAATGGATATGTGGGATGAAAATGAAGATTTATTGGATGATGAAATGGATAAGGCAAATGCCGATACCTTTGGGGATGATGCGATGGAGTTAACAGGTACGGGTTCGTTAGCGGATATGGCGAAAGCCACCGCCACTTTACCAAGAATGGGTGATTGGGAAAAAGGACGTCCGGCAAGTCTTGCCTCACCTCCTTCAACAACTATGAAAACACAAACAAATGAACAAACCGTACAACCACCAGTCTCTGCAGCAACGACTGCCGCCACAACAACCACTACTACACAAGCCGTAAAAGCGGCTAATACTACGACTACGACTATTACTGCTACTGCTGGTGCTACCCCTACTGCCAATACTGCTGCTGTTTCCCCACGGACAACAAAATCAATGGCCACAACACCACCAGCAGCGACAGCCACTGCTTCTCAACGTGCTTCTGAGCAGAAACAGCAAACCACTGCGAATTCCTCATCTACTGCTGTTGCGGGTGCTACTAATACTACTACGGCAAGTTCGAATCAAACCGCTATAAGTTACGATAAGAATATAATGCTTGACCTTGTTGATATGTCTTTAGCCAATTTACCTCACACACAAGATGTCGACCGACAGCGTCCTTTTGAGCCATCTAATCCTACTGTATGTCCTTCTTATTACCCACAACAGGTACTCCCGGCGTTGGCATCCCCAGACATCTACCGTGAGTTTGAGCTGGAGACACTCTTCTTCATCTTTTATTATCATCAGAACACATATCAACAGTATTACGCAGCAAAACAGATTAAATCAAAATCTTTCCGCTACCATAAAGGGCTTAACACTTGGTTCCAGCGTAGTGGTACACTAAAGGAGACGCAAGGAGATGGTGAACGCGGTTCATTCCTTTTCTTTAATTACGAAGATACATGGCGTATGGAAGAGAAGGAAGACTTCACGTTTAACTATAAGTACTTAGAGGATGAGTTGCGTTGATTGATTTATTTATTTATTTATTTATATATATTTATATATAGGTCTGTGTGTGTGTGTGTTTGTAGTTATCTTTTTTGTTAAATTCATTTTTTTCTCGTCACACTTTATAAGGATATATGCATGTGGTTTCGTTTTTTTTTTCTTTTTTTTTTTTTATTATTCCATCACGTTAGCACTGTTGATATTGCAAATTTGTTCGTACAAATACCATCTATCATTCTTTTGTATATATATGTATATATATATATATATATA